TATAAAGTCGTAATATATGATAGACAAGTAGTAGGATCATTCTGGAATTACATATTGAACATATTGAATTCCTTGTACATATTGAATCGATTGGATTAAAAGCATATTCTAATGGGCTCAACTTTTGGTCTCGAGAGATGGTATCATCTGCAATTATCTTTTTAAGGAGTATAACTTCTTCAGATCCCCAAAGTTTTTCTACTTATTGCACGAGTTAAAATTGCTGAATGTTTAATGTAGGTTACTCTACCAGTTATCTGACATTCAAGAGTTCTCTGCAAAACCCCTTGATTTCTGGATTGATAACAATGCAGCTCGAGTTAGGTTTATTGTAGCTATGAGTGAAATTGACTTGGCTGGGTTAGGGCTACATCTCTTGTGGCTGCTGTCTCAAATTTAGGTTCACGTCTCATTTTGAGGTCATCTATCCATCGGTCCTAATCAGTGAAAGCTCCAGCTCAAACAGCTCAGCCCAAGAAAGAGATGTCGTCCTTCATTCTTGCTCAAGCTAAAGCGCGGTGTGATACAGCTAAGTCACAAGTAAAATAGCAGAGATCTGATGACGGACGGAAAGGACCTCGCGACTTGCCACATGACTCTAAATTTCACATCTCCTTATGTGAAAAGAAGTATAAATATCTTTAGATACTAGACATTTGTTGTGCGCGGAAGCCACCAATCATTGTGCTTTGAGGAACCAAACCAAATGTCGAGAGAGAAGACCAAACAAACCAAAATAACGGCACAAACACAAACAACCAATTTTACGTGGTTTGGCAAGTTGCCTATGTCCACGGGGCAAAGGGAGATGAGTTTTCACTAATAGAGAAGGAGAGTACAAACTGAGATTACAAATTACTCAAAATAAACCAACTAATCTCACCAACAAATCTCTCAATCTATCAAACAATAACCCTAATCAATAGCTAAGAAAGATCTCTCTTTTCTGTGCTCAAAATATCCCCTTGACTGCGCCAAAGAAACCCTAAAACGTGTTGGTATTTATACCTTTTCTGTGCTCAAAATATCCCCTTGACTGCGCCAAAGAAACCCTAAAACGTGTTGGTATTTATACCAAATACCAAACCAATTCAGAATAGGAAACAAGTCAAGTCAACCCGAGCCTTGCCCGACTGGCGATCGACCGCCACAAAGCTCGCAGTCGACCGCGATCAAACAACAGAACCAGAAGAATCCTACAAGGCATGGCGGTCGATCGCACCAAGTCCAGACTCGATTATAGGGTCCGTGCACGAATTTGGTCGACCGGCCTTGCATCGCGGTCGATCGAACAACTCCAAAACTGTTCCCCCTGTGCCCAAAATCTGTTTTTACCAAATCTTTCGCCGATTCTACAATTATCTACCTCGGCAAAGTTTTCCCAAAACTGAACCGACACCAACCAAAGCAAATGTCTCACTTATTGTGTTTAGTACGAAGTGAACCAAATTCACGATAACGGACTCAATCCACAACAAGTCGAGACCCGAATGAGAATGTGATCACTCTCCAAAAGTCAGTATCAACTCACTAAATCAGCTGCATCATAAAATGACTGCCTACGTATCCTCTTGTTAAAGGAATCAAGCTTTCATGTAGTTCTCCTAATGGCCTCCAAAGGTCCTCAATCAACTAGAAGAGTTCTCAACCCTTCTCCAACATCACCAACAACTCTACAACTGATAGCTCTCCTAATGGCCCCAAAGTGAAACGATCCAGACACCTCCATCTGAGGTGAACCAATGGCCATATCCAAATCCTAATGATCTGATCAACACTCTCCACCTGCTAAGAGTCAAATGTGACATGTCTGCTCAGAACAAAATCAGAAGCCAATACCTGATAATCAAACACGCCTCTGAATCCCAAACGTACAATCAGATCAAATCTCACATCCTCGATGTGACCATATGTTGGACGACCAAACATCTGATGCAATCCAAAATCTAAAGCAGCTCCACTATATCCAAAATCTCTAAACGCAGCAGTCGACAACCTATGACTAAGATGACACATATATGTCGAAGCCCGTATATCAAAACTAATGCTTGATATCAAATAGCGATCCTCCTCCAGTAAGGAACGACTCATCAAAACTGTCATCTTATCTCGTCGCCCCGATATTTTCTCTCTAATGAAGTGTCTCAAACTGTCGTGAGCTTGGCACAAATGCAGAAAAGAACCCCTACCAAAATCAGAATAATGTGTTACCTTTCTGCTAATACACTTTCTCCATCTGTTGTTGACTACTAGGACTTCATACCAATAGGACTTGGTTGTAATCCACAAATACCTAGAACAATTCCCAACATAGGAAACCAAATACCGATTACCTTCCAATGATGCTTTCTTGGAAGGCTTCCAAATGCTAGAATGAACACCACCTAGAAGACCCCTCGTCCGGTGAATAGAAGTGCAAAACTCCACCTCGGTCTCCTTGCTCATACCAATGTGCTCATAGGACTTCAAATTGCAGGTCAAAGCACCTCTCCATAAACCAAATTGTTCGTGCCATTAAACTTCTCCACATCTATCTTCATAGAGTGAATACTTAAATTTTGTACAGTCTTCACGCCAGAAGTACCCTCCACAACTTCTTCTTTCTCAGCCATCTTTCTCAAAGCACCAATAAACCAATGCGGAATAAACGAAGAATAGATCCAAAATACGAGAAATGTAGATTTTTACCTCCAACTGAAACCCTAACAAGAGCCTCCAAAAGATCTCACCCCCACACGACGGAAGATAAGATCCACAATAGTAAAAATCTTACATTTATCACCAATTGAAACCCTAGACGAGCTTCCAAAGCGATCTACCCCTCCACCAATCCTCAAGCATAGTATGTGCTCTGATACCACTTGTTGTGCGCGGAAGCCACCAATCGTTGTGCTTTAAGGAACCAAACCAAACACCGAGAGAGAAGACCAAACAAACCAAAATAACGACACAAACACAAACAATCAATTTTACGTGGTTCGGTAAGTTGCCTACCTCCCGGGGCAAGGGAATATGGGTTTTCACTAATAGAGAAGGAGAGTACAAACTAAGATTACAAATCACTCAAAATAAACCAACTAATCTCACCAACAAAGCTCTCAATCTCTCAAACAATAACCCTAACCAATAGCTCAGAAAGATCTCTCTTTTCTGTGCTTAAAATATCCCCTTGACTGCGCCAAAGAAATTCTAAAACGTGTTGGTATTTATATCAAACACCAAACCAATTCAGAATAGGAAACAACTCAACCTGGGCCTGACCAGACTAGCGGTCGACCGTCACAAAACTCGCGGTCGACCGCGATCAAACGACATAACCAAAAAAATCCTACAGGGTATGGTGGTCGACCGCGACAGTCGACCGCACTAAGTCCAGACTCAATTCTAGGGTATGTGCATGAATTTGGTCGACCGACCTTGCACCGCGGTCGACCGGCCTTACACCGCGGTAGACCGAACAACTCCAAAACTGTTCCCCTGTGTCCAAAACCTTTTCTTCACCAAATCTTTCGTGGATTCTACAACATTCTCTAATTAGTATTCAAATAGTAACCTTTCCATTGCATATAATATTCTAACATGTTTTCCCCCTAAAGTGAGTTCGCTACCAACCGCAGTTGCACCATCCGCCATCCGCCAAAATTTTCCTGTGAACTTCTCACGGCATACAATATACTAAAATATTTTTTTTGTTCCTCTAGCCTAGAAGGCCACTTTTTCTCTTCTTTTAACTTGTTATGGTTGTTGTCAACAAGTGCATTGAGCCCCTCCAAGTCAGGTCAAATCACCTTGTGCCTTGAGACACTCTAGGTTAGGGAAGATCAATTATTGTGTCTTGCGCCACAGAATTACCCGCAAATGTTATCAGAAACGCTATTTGGCTCGTTGATTAACTCGCGACCTCAACTCGCGCCTACGTGGAAGGATCCACGTCAGCAACCCCAATTTCTGATCCCGTGACCTTCCCTTCCTTCCCTAATTTCTGATCTCTCTCCTCACTTCAGAAAAAATCCCTAAAAGAATCTCACTCCCCCTCCCAACCCTAGCCCCAACTCCGCCGTGACTCCTTCGCCGTCCCCTGACTCCGCCATGACACCGCCGTCGCCGCCTGACTCCGCCGTCACACCGTCGCCATCCCCTCAGATCTCCATCCCCCCCACTTCAAAACAGGTACCTTTCCTCTTTAATCCATCAAAAACCCTCGATTTCGTGCAAATTTCACTTCTTTCCATCTGATTTGATATGATTTTTGTTTGCATCTTGTTTAATTGAAACCTACTTACAAACTATTTTGGCTTGAGAGAGTGATGTGTTAATTCGATTTCGTGGGTCTTGTGGATTTTACTGGTTAATTAAAAAATCGTGGGTCTTGAGAGAGTGATGTGTTTAATTTCAAGATGGGGATTTTGTTTTTATTTATGAGCTTCATACCAGGAAATCATGATGTAGTTATTATTTAGTTGAAATCATGATGTAGTTATTATTTAGTTGGTCACAAATTTTTGTTTATTTAAAGATGAAGTAACTAAAAGAAAAGGAAACAACTGCAAGTGTTCATTAGCATCATAACCTTATACAGAATAATTAATTTAGATTGACCTCCTTGTTAACTAATTATGTTTTGGTATGTCAAGGAATAAAATATGTGTTTTTCATGATGCTAATTATCAGTTTCAGTCAATTCTTTGTTCAGTTTCTTTGTTCAGTTTCTGTTAACTATTTTTCTGTAAAGTTTATTAATGATCAATTTAAACAAGCATGACAGATATTGAGGAGTTTGTTGATGTAGTTGATGATGCCTTGAATAATTGCTCGGTTGATGAGAGATCTGAGTTGCCTCAGCACACTGATCAGCGGATTGAGCAAAATGAGCCTAAAATTGGGATGGAGTTTAATGATCCAGATGAATTGTTTGAGTTTTACAAAGACTATGCAAAGAGCAGTGTATTTCCAATTAAGAAACATACAAGAAGGAGAATGAAATGGGCATTGTTAGAAGTATGACTTTAGTATGTGGTCGAGCTAGTAAACATAATAGTACTTGTCAAAATCCCTTAAAACCACAAGCAAGCTACAGAGTTGGGTGTAATGCAAAGATAACAGCTAGGTTAAATCTGGACGGAAGATGGGAAATATCTGTGGTTGTTGTGGAGCATAATCATGGCCTTAGCCCTAGTAAAAGTCGTTTCTTTCGATGCAACCGAAGAATTAGTGCACATGTTAGACATCAAATTAATCTGAATGATCAAGCCGGAATCAGAATCAAAAAAAATTTCAGCTCACTTGTACATGAGGCTAGTGGATATGAGAATCTGTTGTGTGATGAAAAGGCTTGCAGGAACTTGTTTGATGAATCAAGGCGTTTACGTCTCGACGGAGGTGATGCTTCAGCGATTATAAAATATTTTCCAATGATGGTTGCAGAAAATTCAGGTTTCTATTTTGATATTGAATTGGATGATGAAGATCATTTAAAAAATGTATTTTGGGCAGATGGTAGGAGCAGAGAAGCTTACAAAGAGTTTGGTGAGGTCATCACTTTTGATACCACATACTTAACTAATAAGTATGATATGCCATTTGCACTATTTGTTGGCGTTAACCATCATGGGCAATCAATTTTACTTGGATGTGGGTTGATTTCAAAAGAAGACACAGAGACTTTCATATGGCTATTTACAAAGTGGGTTGAATGCATGGATGGATGTGCTCTGCAAGGGATAATAACTGACCAAGCAAGAGCCATAAAAAATGCAATTGAGATTGTTTTTCCAAACACTAGACATAGATGGTGTTTGTGGCATATAATGAAGAAGCTGTCAGAAAAGTTAGGAAAGTACACTGAATATGAGACCATCAGTTCTACCATGAAAGGAGTGGTGTATGACGCACAAAGTCCACAAGAGTTTGAACAATAGTGGAATGAAATGGTTGACATGTATGGATTGGAGGATTGTAATTGGTTAGGTGAATTGTACGAGGAGAGAAACCGATGGGTTCGATGTTTTGTCAAAAATCGTTTTTGGGCAGGAATGTCAACTACTCAGCGAAGTGAAAGCATGAATGTTTTTTTTGATGGATATGTCAATTCAAAAACAAGTCTGAAACAGTTTGTTGAGCAGTATGAAAATGCATTAAGAAGCAAGGCGGAAAAGGAGATGCGGGCCGATGCAGGGTCATTTTCAAAAGTAAAAGCTACTGCAACAACTTATGATATGGAGAGTCAAATTCAGGGAGTCTACACTTTAGCAAAGTTTAAAGAGTTTCAAGCTGAATTCACGGGAAAGGTATATTGTGATATTGTAAACTATCAAGAGGGAGCAGGGGTGCTTGAGTATGTCATTCGGAACTTGACTTTGCGGTTGGAGGGCGGCAAAAGGATTCCTAAATTCTTCATGTAGTTGTCAGTTGTTTGTGTTTAAAGGCATAGTATGTAGGCATGCTGTCACGCCCCGAAATCTAAAACGGAAATTCATAAAATATGGGGTACGCGACAGCACGAGACAAGTCTTATGCACGAGTTAAGCCTGGCAATTCATATCACATAGTTTATTTTCAAAATATTCATAAACCTGCTGATGATAGAAATCAGAGCAACTATATATATATGATCGGTACTTACAGCCCACAAACTCACCGTTATAAGCATTTTTACAAAACAAAATAAAATGTGCTGAAGGTAACATCAACAAGAAGAGGCTCTCCATACAACGCCTCTCAGCCAAAAGCTCAAACCAAAAGTTCGGCTATTATGAATCTACGCCGGATCTGAAAAAAATTTAAAAATAACGGAATGAGCTAGCGCTCAATGAGAACATTTCTCACTAGAGTTCCTAGATAACTAACAAAATAGTAATAAGAATAGTTCTCAGAAATTAACAAATTTCAAGTTTTGCATGAGAAATTCACAGATAGCAGAATATGATCCAAATATCGTAATATTGTCATTTTTAAGAAGAAAACAACAATTATATTTCCTTTCTCATGTGCAACTGAATAAACTGTGAAATTTCTTGAAATCAAACCCTTTTTGAATCAAGGTAAACATTAAGAAGGAAAAGAACTACTAATTTGTACAAAATCGGAGAATTGTTGTTTTCTTAATTTCACAGTCAATTATCAGAATCTTATTTCTCGATGAGTATTTCATGAATGTAAAAGTCACCCCATAGGTCACACTAAGGCTACGAATTTTAGCCCAGTAGCAAGGGAATGCGTAAACCCACCTAACACTGCCATAGGCTACTGGCCAAATACAGAGGGGCCAGAACAGATTTCAGAAGGGCCAATACAGAAGGGCCAAGGCTAATACAGAAGGGCCAAATAAAGGTGCATTCACCATATGGCAGGCAGAACCAATCCATAGTGGACTATTTGAGGGTTTGAAAACATTGAGATCACATGTCAAATGAGAAATACTTTGCATATCAGAATTTGCAGATATTTTAAATGAAATTGACAAGGCAAAGCTTCTCATTTCTGTTAAAACAGTTTACGGATATTTACTTTTTCTTTTATTAGATACTAAGTCACGGAAAAATCTTTGAATCCGTTAAACTGTTGAAATACGTTCCAAATACTTTATTAAAACTTTTAGATAAAACAAACTCCACAAGTATTTGAAAATTGCGTGAGAGCCAAATTTATTTTTCATATTTATATAGGAATCGAATTTGCTTTTCATATATTATACGGGGCTAACATCGTATTATAGGATGGACCATAATAGACATAGGTCAAATCTTTAATATACATGAAAAGACATATTATTTATTTATTTATTTCATCACAAGACAAATCAAATATAAAACTCATGTAATTTCATATTATAAAAATACTAGTGAGAAATGAACTCACCTCTAGTGGTCACGACTTTCTCAAAATATTAGTCTCCCGAATATCAACCAGAACCTATAATGTAAGATATATGACTAATTATTAATTCAGAACAAACATATATTATAGGTAAATCAATTCATAATCTAGAGCCTAATAATTTCAAATATAATCAATAATAATTAAATTATGCAGTGCATATGAATTTGTTGCTATCTCTGGTAATTCATCAAAATTTTATAATTCTCATACACTAGCTTTTGGACTTTTTAGTAATTTATAATAATATAGGGGTTATAGGGAAATTATCAAGTCTGAAAGTTTTATTGTTTATTCATCAGATTAGACTTGTTTACAACTGAACAAAAGACAGGGGTTTAACAGATATTTTCTTGCCAATTTCAACCATAACTCATTTTACTAAGGTCGGTTAGAAACTTTTACATAGTCCAGGGGCTTAAGGTAATTTTCCTCTCCTTATATCATTTCAACAGATCATCTTCCTCCTCCCTTCTTTCGTTTCTTTCTTCTTCTTCTTTCTTTTTTTTCCTGTTCCTCTTTCTTTCTTCCTCTGCTTTCTCCTTTTTTCCTTTTGGTTTTCTTCTCCTCTCCTCTCTCTCTCTCTCTCTCTCTCTCTCTCTCTCTCTCTCTCTTTCTCTCCGCCATGGCTGCAGAACAGCGACGAGGAAACCGCCGACGACCAAGACCGGCCGATGACGAGTCCTTGCCGGATCTAGGGTTAGTCTATTTTCCTTTCTTTTCTTTTTTTTTCTAATTTGTTTCATGTATCCTAAATACATAAGAAAATTCCTTTTGTAAACCCTAGATTCCTTTATTTCACATTCATAACAAGTTAACTTCCTCATTCATTTTATTTTAATTTGATTTACTAAGATCTCTATAACAAATTTTACTTTTCTAAACTAAGAAATTTTTAGATCAAACATGAGGATTGACTTATACCTTACTGATTTTGAACTTGGGGATGTTGATCACGTTTCTTCCTCTTCTTCTTCTTCTCTTTTTTTTTCCGTGGGTTTTCGTTGATTTTTTTTTCTGTTTCATTCTTCCATCTCCTAAGTTAGCAGCTTAAAAAGAGAAGGTGGGAGACAGAGGCTAACGAGCTCAGAGTTGCTAGGATCATAGGGATGGTTTCATGGATTAAAGGAGAAATGAACACATCATTTTGGGACTCTCCAAGAGGATCTAAATGAGCCAGCTCAAGCTGTAAGCTTCTCTCTCTCTCTCTCTCTCTCTCTCTCTCTCTCTCTCTCTCTTTTCTATTTTATATCATTTTATTTTTTTATATATTATCATCATTTTTTATGTTTTTTTTTCTCCCCACCTAATAAAAAGTTTCGTCCTCAAAACTTAACATACCTATATCTCGAAGAGTTCTGGATATCTCTCTCGTATAGAATCTTCAGTCTCCCAAGTAGCTTCTCTTTCAGAGTGATTCTTCCACTGAACTTTCACATATTTGATTATTCGGTGTCTAAGTACTTGTTCTTTAAAATCCACAATACGTTCTGGTCTTTCCTCATAGGTCAAATCTGGCTTAAGCTCCACTGGAGACAACTCCACGATCTCATTTGGATCTCGGATGAACTTCCGAAGCATCGATATGTGAAATACATCGTGTACTCCAGACCTCGGATGAACTTCCGAAGCATCGATATGTGAAATACATCGTGTACTCCAGACAGGGCTGGTGGTAATGTTAATCTGTACGCCACTGGACCAATACGCTCTAGAATTTCAAAAGGACCAATGAATCTCGGGCTTAACTTTTCTTGGATTCCAAATCTTTTCACTCCTCGGGTAGGCAAAACCTTTAAGAAAACATGATCGCCTACTTAAAATTCTAATTCCCTTCTTCTTTGATCAGCATAACTCTTCTGACGACTTTGTGCCGTGCGAAGACGTTCTCGAACTAATTGAATTTTATCAATTGCTTGTTGTACCAATTCCGGTCCAAGAAGTTTCCTTTCTCCAACATCATCCCAATGAATAGGAGATCTACATTTCCTTCCATAAAGAAGTTCATATGGTGCCATCTGAATGCTAGCTTGGTAGCTATTATTATATGCAAACTCGGCCAAAGGCAGATAATCTTCCCACGATCCTTTCATCTCCAGAACACAACATCTCAACATATCTTCTAGTGTTTGAATTGTCCGTTCTGATTGGTCATCGGTCTGTGGATGATAAGCTGAGCTGAAATTTAGTTTAGTCTGCAGAGCTCTATGCATACTTTTCCAGTATTCTGATGTGAACCGAGGATCTCGGTCAGAAACTATTGATATGGGTACACCATACAACCTTACTATCTCATTAATGTACATCTTAGTCAGCTTTTCTAATGAAAATTTCATATTGATAGGTAAAAAGTGTGCTGACTTTGTCAATCGGTCAACAATCACCCATATTGCATCATTCTTTCTCAAAGATTTTGGAAGGCCAGTGACAAAATCCATGGTGATCTTTTCCCATTTCCACATTGGTATGTCCAAGTTATGGACTAATCCAGCTGGTCTCTGGTGCTCAGCCTTTACTTGTTGGCAAGTGAAACATTCTGCAACATATGTGGCAATTTCCTTCTTCATATTATTCCACCAATATATTTCTTTCAGGTCTTTATACATTTTTGTTGATCCAGGATGCATAGTATACAGAGAGTGATGTGCCTCTTTTAGAATCTTTTTCTTTATCTCTGGTATGTTAGGCACACAAACTCTAGTTCCAAATCTCAATGACCCATCTTTATGTATCTTAAATTCTCCTCGAGTGCCTTCTTCCACATCTTTCTTTATCTTCAATAGTTGAGGATCATTCTACTGGTTTGCTTTAATTTCATCTAGCAAAGAAGGTTGTATTATCATATTTGCTAATTTAATTCTAATTTGGTGGATTCTAATTTCAATTCCAGTACGGTCCAAGTCCTCCAATATTTTTCTTTGAGAAGTAATTAGGCAAGCTAAATTGCATGAATTCTTACGGCTCAAGGCATCAGCAACAACATTTGCCTTGCCAGGATGATAATGGATGGTCATATCATAATCTTTCAGAAGCTCCAACCATC